AACCAGACCCGAACGTACGGCGCGTCGCGTTCCGCATACGCCCCAAGGAGCCATCAGACCATCACGGATGGAGCTGATGCCCATACGGAGCCACAGAGGACTTAAAGGGTGACCGGGACTCCGACTCGAAGTGCAGGAATAGGAACGGGGTGGTTTTAAGTCAGTAAGAGTCGGAAGTTACCTGTGTCTGATGGGGCGGGAGGAAACGTCCGGGTGTCATCACTGTGAGGACCGCCCTGAGGACACGGTGGAATACACTATAGCGAAATGCATTGCGTGGGCTGAGCACCGCCGTACCCTCAGGGAAATGATCGGCGATGGCAACCTCTCGCGTCCGGGCCTAGTGCAGGCCATGATGCAGAGCGAGGGGGACTGGGATGCCGTGTCCTCCTTTTGCGAAGCAGTCAAGCTAGCTAAGGAGGAGGCGGGACGCATGAGGCAACGAAGTGCTGCCTCCTCGCAACCCAGCCATCGCGAAGGACACACCGGGCGTCGGGGATCGCGGGACGATCTCCGGCCATCGTAAGCGCGGGCCTGCGGACGGCGAGCATGGGTGGCTTCCCGTCCGACCAGAAACAGACCTGAACGTGCGGCGCGTCGCGTTCCGCGCGGGCCTTAAAGAGCCATAAAACCACCACAGATGGGGCCCAACAGGGCCGATGCCGAGTCGGAGTCGCGGAGAACCTAACGGCTAACCGGGGCTCCGGCTGGACGTGCAGGAGAAGGAACGGGGTTGTTTTTAGTCAGTAAGAGTGACACTCCCTCCCGCCTTACCCAGGCGGGAGCAGTCAATCGATGATTTTCCCCGCTTAAAAAAAAAGTCAGTAAGAGAAACTTCCTCTGAAACTTCCACTCGCCTCACCAGCGCGGCCGCCGGCGGCCGGCGGCAAAAGGCATTGGATGATTTATTATCCCTCAAAAAAAAATGGTATCATGTTAGATCACCTAGCTATTGATCGTCAGTATATTGCTGTTGAACGTTCGTATATAGTTATTAGGCGTCCGTATATAGCTATTGAACGTCCGTATATAGCTATTGGGCGTCCGTATATAGCTATTGAACGTCCACGTATAGCTATTGGGCGTCCGTAATTAGTAAAGATAATAAGAATATATCTTATTACTAGAATGGTTTTATTAAGTATATATGTTCAAAACTTCTTTCATTTAGGCTGGTTTCAAAGCTAGAGGATTGGGCAGCGCTGCTGAAATGCTTGGAAACGCTTGGAGATGATGAGAGCTCTAGCATCGTTTTATTGCGACGCTACTGTCTGTCATAGAGGTAGAGGTCCCAGTAGAGGACTTTATCGCTAGAAATTATGATCTATGTCATAGATCTAATTAGAGAATCTAGGTAGATATAAAAGATAAAATAAAAGTGTATCTCATAGATTCTATGAGATACACTTTTATTTTAATCTAAACCTTAAGTAACTGAAGACCGCACCTAAGATTGTTGCCTGATGCCTCTATTGTTGAAGCCCGCGCTTCAGCCGCGCTGCCCATATCCCCTAGCTTTGAAACCAGCTCTAATTGTATCAAATATTTAATTGGTAGATTATTGATATGAAGTTACCAATTCTAAGTAAGCAAATAAAAACAAAGAATATGGATATCATTTTACTGCCTCGTTGGCCGAGTGGTCGCAAGTGTGATCGCCTGGCAAAGAGTCTCGGGTTCCATTCCCGGGTTGGGCAAAGTATTACTGGGTTTTTTCAAGAGTTTGGAAGTGGGCCCGGTATATGGCAATAAACTCACCCCCTATTACATGGGACTCATAACATAAATAGTAAAACTGTGGATATTACATTATACAGTGGCATTAAGTGCCGTAATGTACATCTCTGCTTACTCCTTCGGGGAAAAAAGCGTGTTATGTTATGTTAAATATGGATATCACTTTTAATGAAGTGGTTATGTTTTGTAATCAAAAACATTTATAATTCCTAATTGGATCTTTATAACACGCCAAGGCTATAAATAAGAAGACAAACGTTGATTGATTTGATCAGTAATACAACATTAATTAATTATTCAGTGTTAGATGCATCTTCTAACCACATAAATAGATAAAGTTAATAAAATTACGTCAAAATTTATACGGAGACTATACGTAGGTCACTACAAAAGTTTTGTCGTATGACAAATAGTTAATAGTTATAATTCAACTGAGGGTAGATTCTAATACATCAACTAATGTCAACATATTTTGCATAAGTTTCGTTGGAGTAACTAGCTTAGTATTTTTTTAGTGAATTTTTTAACAATTGGATATGTCAGATTTAAATCGTCGTGACGTTCGGGTGATAATTTTGTATAACTTTAAGCGTGGATTATCAAAACAACAATGCTTCGAAGAAATGAGTGGTGTGTTGGGTGATAATTGTCCATCCCTTAGGACTATAGAAAGATGGTTTTACAATTCAATCGCGGCAATTTTAATTTAGAAGACGATTCAAGACCGGGCAGGCCGATTGACGCAACCACTGATAAGAATATTGTGGCTGTGCGAAAAGTGATTGAAGGAGATCGCCATGTAACATACCGTCAGATCGAGGAAACACTCAATTTAAGTGCACCAACTATTCATCGAATTCTTCATGAAAACTTAGGAGTACGAAAGCTTTGTTCACTTTGGGTACCACATTTGCTAACTGATGCGATTAGGGAACAGCGCGTCAAATGGTGTAAAGAAATGTTAAAAAAATTCAATGACGGCAAATCTAACTATGTGAATTCAATTATCACTGGTGACGAAACCTGGCTGTATTATTTCGACGTTCCAACTAAATCCCAGAGTAAAGTGTGGGTGTTTGAAGACGAAGATCCTCCGACGTCCGTTAAAATGTCCCGGTCAGTCAAAAAAAGAATGGTAGCCGTATTTTTCTCCAGAAGAGGTATTTTATCAATAATTGTGCTTGATAAACAGAAGACTGTGACAGCTGCCTGGTACACTGAAAAATGTTTACCTCAAGTTTTAGAATCTTTGAAAAATGAACGTCCAAACTCAAGACTCGACACTTGGTTCTTGCATCATGATAACGCTCCCGCGCATCGAGCCGGCAAAACTGTGGACTATCTGAGTCAAACTGGGATCAAATTACTGGGACACCCTCCTTATAGCCCAGACTTAGCACCGTGTGATTTTGGCCTGTTCCCATATGTAAAAAAGCAACTAAAAGGCCGCAAGTTTACTAATGATGACCAACTTTTAGGTGCTTTTGAGGAGATATGCAGCAGTGTGCAGGAAGGATTCTGGAGCGACATCTTTGATACGTGGTTTGCACGTATGAAGACCTGCCTAAGTGCCAATGGAGAATACTTCGAAAAAAAATAATATTTCACGGAGTACGACAAAACTTTTGTAGTGACCTACGTACTATCTAAATACACATTTAATACAAGTTAAACTCTGGTAAATTTTTTTTGTGGTAAGACATATAATTTTGTCACTTGAGTACTTATTTCTAAGATCCATTTAAGGAATTAATTTATACCCTCATCTATTATAATATATCACTGATAGGTACTCATTTACAAATTGAGAACAGGGTTGCAGATAAGTTGCCGTAAGTTGCAATCACATGATTATAATAAAATCGGACTCCAAATAATACGCAACACATCCGAAATGTACGACGATGAACATTGTTTTGAATGCGGTAAATAATATTATGAACTATTTCCACGGATTTACTGAGCGAACTGGCAACGTCGCTGTTATTTTTTTGAGGACGCCAAATACGCGGACTTATAATCAGAAAATCCTAAAAATATACAGCTGTGGATATACGCGCTACAGCAGCGCTCTATCTGCGCTGAGATTTCTTTGGGAACTTTTCAAAATACTATAACAGCCATTGAACCGATCTTTTGGCCTCTGTCGATTTTTAACCTACGTGCAGCCAGGACCAAAAGGACCTAAGTAGCATAGGCCAAAAAAGTGGCGTCCGGTATGCGGACGCCACAAGCAGGTGGACGCCAGATTAAATGCACTTTCGCCTTCATGGGACGTCCAAACGATTGCGGGATGTAAATAAATATATATATATATATATATATATATAACTAGCTTTTACCCGCGGCTTCGCTCGCGTCACAAAAGAATATATACCAATACACACAGCGCCATCTATACCAATACTTTTGTTTTTCCTCGGAAATATCAATTTTTCCGGGTTAAAAAGTCCCCTTTTATTTAATCCGGACTTCTAACTTTACGTCTGCAAAAATTCAAAGCAATCGGTTTAGTAGTTATGGCGTGAAGGTGGAACAAACAAACAAAAAAACAAACTCACTTTTAGATTTATAATATTAGTAAGGATTATACACACAACACAGACTATTGTTATTATTATTATTTGTGACTAGGTTGTAATTCATTGCTAGAGTGTTATTTGTGACTAGGTTGTAATTCATTGCTAGAGTGTTATTTGTGACTAGGTTGTAATTCATTGCTAGAGTGTTATTTGTGACTAGGTTGTAATTCATTGCTAGAGTGTTATTTGTGACTAGGTTGTAATTCATTGCTAGAGTGTTATTTGTGACTAGGTTGTAATTCATTGCTAGAGTGTTATTTGGGAAAAGGTTGTAATTGGATTGAAATTGCATTGACATTGTAATTGATTTCAAGAGTAAGCACCCAGAGCGGCGAACGTGATCTCGTTTCGATTATGTTAAACGTATTTGTGACTGACTTGTAATTATGATTTACATGTAAAAAGTCAAAAGTCAAAAAGTCGAAATCATTTATTTCAATTAGACCAGAAAGACACTTTTGAACGTCAATAATAAAATTAAAAGTGAAGCTATTTGCTCATTCCAAGGCGTAGATTCCTATGGAGAAGAACGAGCAAGAAACTCCATAGGTTACTCTTTTTCAATCATGTTCACAATACAATTCTCTAGTTACATAGTTTGTTCATGACTACCCTGTAATTCTGTAATTTATGCTTAACTTAATATGACTATTATGTATACAGTGTGTAATATGTTCCCAGCGTACTACACAAGGGTCAGAACAGGTATCCGTGCCCTCGCTGTGGGAAGGTGTATCAGTGGAAATCGAACCTAGGACGACATCTGCGCAGTCATAAGGTGAGTTTAACACACACATAACATCACGCCTTTTAACCCCGAAGAGGTAGAAAGATATGCACATTACGGCACTTAATGCCACTGTACAATGTAACACCCACTTTTCACTATTTATGTTATGAGTCCCATATAATAGGGGGTGAGCCTATTGCCATATACCGGGCACAATTCCAGACTCCGAGCTACTACTGAGAATTTTAAAATCCTAGTAGTACCTTGCCCGACCCGGTAATCGACTTCGAGACCCCTTGCCCGACAGTCGCATTTGCGACCACTCGGCCAACGAGGCAATCAGAGGCAGTGAATTTAACTTTCAACAAGAAGAATAAAATAATGCAATGCATGTAAGACAGGAGAGATTAATGGGGATTAACGTTATTTTATTAACCACACGGCGCTATCGTACAGTCAAAGGTCAAAAGTCCACTGCCACCGTGAGTGATGTTCACAATGCGTAAGTAATTTCATATTAATGTGCATAAACACGCGCGCGTTCTGTTATAGCCTTGCGATGTCCGTTAAATATAAATAAAACGTTAGAAATGCGCATCCGCACTTCCCGGTACTGTCCATGATATCAAATACAGAGATAAGCAGCATTTCCAGATACTAACTCATTAAGATAACCAACGGTCGCGTCGCCAGGTCCCGCACTTAGGCTTCTCGTCAGTTCTATTTCGGCAGTCCTAAGAGCCATACGTTTTCTAATTCTCGTCCCAAATTCTGTAAAATCATTAAAGTCTTTCCAGATCAATTCAAATCTCTTTTTTTTAAAAGTCTCCTCTGAGGTCCAGCCTAACAGTACGTATAAACGCACGCACGCGTACGCACACGGATAAACATGCGTGTGCATGTGGGTATAAGCGATAGTAGTCTTACGGTGGCAGTCGACTTTTGACCTTTGACCGTACATAAAGGTTTTCTTGTCCAATCATTCATCAACAGCCTATGAATGGCCACGGCTGAGCGAAAACTAAAATATAGTATTGTATCGTCAGGCCCGAGACTCGGGCGAGTTGTACTGCGAGACGTGCGACAAGCGGTTCGCGTCGGTCGCCACGTACAGGCAACACCTGCGAGTGTCGCGCAGACATGTCGCCGAGAGCGACTTCAGGTGATACTCACTCGTACTCGGACACACTCACTTATACTCACTCACTATAATATTATAAATCATAAACATTATAACTCACTCATTGTAATATTATAAATCATAAACATTATATTATAACATCACACCTTTTTATCCCCGAAGGGGTAGGCTGAGGTGCACCATACGGCACTTAATGCCACTGTACAATGTAACACCCACTTTTCACTATTTATGTTATGAGTCCCATGTAATAGGGGGTGAGCCTTTTGCCATATACCGGGCACATTTCCAGACTCCGTGCTACTACTGAGATTTTTAAAAACCCAGTAATACTTTGCCCGACCCGGGAATCGAGGCAGTCTTAGTCTTAATATTATAAATACCTAACATCTGTTAATAATTGATAATTGTATTCACTCACTTTACATTAACTTACACTCATTCATACATTTATTGAACCAATACGCTATTTATCGCTAACATTTGCGAGTAAGAGAGCGACTTTGGTGACACACTCAGTTTCACTCACTCACACTTATACATAATGTGTATAATCACACTCATACTCACTCACACTTATACATAATTTGTATAATCACACTCATACTCACTCACACTTATACATAATGTGTATAATCACACTCATACTCACTCACACTTATACATAATGTGTATAATCACACTCATACTCACTCACACTTATACATAATGTGTATAATCACACTCGTACTCAGTCACACTCAGTACTAGTATTGTACAGTTTCATGTGCAACGAGTGCGGCAAGAAGTTCGTGAACAAGACTCGACTCCGGGACCACATCGACTGGGAACATCTACACAACATCAAGTTCCGCTGCCAGCTCTGTAACAAGGTGACTTATTCGTTTATTTTAGGGGATTTCTTTACTGCACCTCTATTTAGAAATTATAGCAAACCAAATTTCAAAAGTCAAAAAAGTCAAAAGTCATTTATTTCAATTACACCAGGAAGGCACTTTTGAACGTCAACAAAGAAATTAAAAGTGAAGCTATTTGCTCATCCCAAAGTGTAGATTCCTATGTAGAAGAACGAGCAAGAAACTCCATAGGTTACTCTTTTTCAATCAGGTTCACAATACAATTCTTCAGTTACACAGTTGTTTCTCCATTAATAACCTACTGCATATCAAGGAATGACTGTACTACAAATTAACTACATATTACTCACCGTAAAACGAAAATACTGATTTGCACATAAATTGTTCAATATTATAACGGAATTCAATATTACAAAAGAAATAAAACATAAATATTAAAACGGAAAGAACTGTAGACTGCCTCGTTGGCCGAATGGTCGCAATTGCGACTGCCGAGCAAGGGGTCTCGGGTTCGATTCCCGGGTCGAGCAAAGTATTACTGGGTTTTTAAAAAATTCTCAGTAGTAGCACGGAGTCTGGAATTGTGTCCGGTATATGGCAATAAGCTCACCCCCTATTACATGGGACTCATAACATAAATAGTGAAAAGTGGGTGTTACATTGTACAGTGGTATAATGTGCACCTCTGCCTACCCCTTTGAGGATAAAAGGCGTGATGTTATGTATGTTATTAAAAAGAAAAGAACCGTGGCATTAAGAGCTGAAATGTGCACCTTTGCCTGCCCCTTTCCGTTATTTTACATACCTTTTGGATAAAAAGGTATGTAAAATAACGGAATTTCCAAAATAGGTTAGGTTGGGAATTATTACATTTACTTTTATTTATAAGATAGTCATTCAGTAAACAGTTAAGCTTAAATATCTAACTGTATAGTATATTGATTTATTTGATGAGCAAATTGAGTGTGCAATTCAGTATTTTTGGTGGTAATATCGAACATTTTGATTGGATAAAGGGAATTTATAGTTAAAGTATTAAATACCTCCCTTTATTTTATATCATCGTGCAGAACTGCTGTACAGTCGGTGCGGTGGCCGCGTAACGTGGCGCGGGTTCGATTCCCGCACGGAGCAACGTGCCGCGTGTTCGGTTCCCGCACGGAGCAACGTGTCGCGGGTTTGATTCCCGCACGGAGCAACGTGTCGCGGGTTCGATTCCCGCACGGAGCAACGTGTCGCGGGTTCGGTTCCCGCACGGAGCAACGTGTCGCGGGTTTGATTCCCGCACGGAGCAACTCTTTATGTGATCCACTGATTGTCGTTCCGTGTCTGTGTGTGATGTGTATGTGAACTTGTATGTTTGTAAACACCCACGACACAGCATGTTATTGTCTGACACAACTGTATGCTCCATATATATAAATGTGTCCGTGCAGCCGTTCAAGTGCCACACGTCGCTGTACGTCCACATGCAGAATGTACATCGCAACAAGGAGAAGAAGGACAACCTCTGTCACGTCTGTGGGAAGTCCTACCAGGTCAGTGCCATACTGGACTTAATATTGTTATAATCGGGATATTTTTGAAGAAATATTCATGTGTAAGTGTGGGAGAGTCATGCACTGCTGGACCGGCTCGACCGGTGATATCACCAACAAGCAGAAAACCATAGTGAAGCAACCACAGCGTTGTGCTTCGTCGTGTGAGTGAGGTTACCGGAGGCCCAATTACTCTCCCCTTCCCCAATCTTCCCAATTCTTGAATCCCCAACGATTCTCAAATTCCTAATCCCCAAAAGGCCGGTAACGCCGGTAATGCCATAAAAAAATGTGTATAAATCAAAACAATATTATTGTAATAAATGAGAAAGTACTGTTTTATTAAATATACTATAATTATTATGTTTTCGGCTTACTCACGTAACTGTTTGATGGGAAACTCGATTAGTTTATAAATAAGCAAGCGATCCGCCTGGCTTGATGCATGTTTTATACATATAAACCTTCCTTAAGAATCACTCTATCTATTAACATATTAAACGTCGTGGTCATCGGTGACCGACGACGTTAGCGGAAGATTTGCCTTCAACAATTTTCTATTGGCAGTCAAAGTCTTAAAAAAACCGCATCAAAATCCGTTGCGTAGTTTCAAAGATCTAAGCATACATAGGGACAGACAGACGGTGGATAGCGACTTTGTTTTATACTATGTAGTGATAAATAAATCATTATTGAATATAATACATTGGTCATAGTATAGGTGAACATCTTAATTAGAAGTCAGAGATGTCAATAAGTTTGAATGAAACTCATTAAGTCTCATTAAGTCGTACTAGAGGCTCATATCCATGAGCAGTGTCGCTGCTGGAGGGTGGTGGCGCCCTCTGTCGGGAGTGTGGCGCCCTCTGTCGGGAGTGTGGCGCCCTCTGTCGGGAGTGTGGCGCCCTCTGTCGGGAGTGTGGCGCCCTCTGTCGGGAGTGTGGCGCCCTCTGTCGGGAGTGTGGCGCCCTCTGTCGGGAGTGTGGCGCCCTCTGTCGGGAGTGTGGCGCCCTCTGTCGGGAGTGTGGCGCCCTCTGTCGGGAGTGTGGCGCCCTCTGTCGGGAGTGTGGCGCCCTCTGTCGGGAGTGTGGCGCCCTCTGTCGGGAGTGTGGCGCCCTCTGTCGGGAGTGTGGCGCCCTCTGTCGGGAGTGTGGCGCCCTCTGTCGGGAGTGTGGCGCCCTCTGTCGGGAGTGTGGCGCCCTCTGTCGGGAGTGTGGCGCCCTCTGTCGGGAGTGTGGCGCCCTCTGTCGGGAGTGTGGCGCCCTCTGTCGGGAGTGTGGCGCGACACCGCTGGCACGTTACACTCGCCCACCGGTGGCTGCGTAGATGTTGAATTCGAATCCCGGGTCGATACAAAACCAGTGTTACTACAACCGCGCTCACTGTGTCACACTCCACACCCACAGCATTGTAGTCTGACTCAGATTTCGAATGTTACGTGAATAAGCCGAAAACTTAATGATTAATTAATATATCTATTGCCTCACGAAATTTTTAATAGATTTATTTTTTAGCACTTTAACATCTCTAATGCCATAAAGTTATTATTAATAAAGTAGTATTTTCTATCTAATTATTTTAGTCCAAACGAAATATAGTAACTGTACACATCCAATTACTCCTATTGAATTAATAAGATTTGTCAATCAATTGATAACTGGCTGACTGCCTCGTTGGCCAAGTGGTCGCAAATGCGACTGTCAGGCAAGGGGTCTCGGATTCGATTTCCAAATCGGGCAAAGTATTACGGAGTTTTTAAAAAAATCTCAAGTAGTAGCACGGAATCTGAAATTGTGCCCGGTATATGGCAATAGACTCACCCCCTATTACATGGGACTCATAACACAAATAGTGAAAAGTGGGTGTTACTTCTGTACGCACCTCTGCCTCTAACATAACATTATGCCTTTTTATCCCCGAAGGAGTTTCGGGGATAAAAAGGCATAATGTTATGTTATGAAAACTGGCTACTTTTCAGTTTAGTTTACATAATACTGCCAGGTGGCGCTGACATTTATTTTTGTTACATTGTTATTCTTACCTTTCATAAAAATATGTACAAGTAAATAAAAGTAACCAATTATTTACAAGAAAACAATTTTTTATTAGAATTTTAGCCTTAACTCCCACTTAACACACATATATTTTACTTGTACATATAATTTATAAGTACCTGAGTACACCAAGAACAACCTCCACTTTCATACAATAGTGCTCCATTCACCCAAAGGTTGCCTGGTAGAGATCGCTTTTAGTGATAAGGCCGCCTTTGTACCCTACTATTCTTTATTATAACATTACATGTATATTCTATTAATTTAAGGTGTACAATAAAGATTATTATTATTATTAACTAACAGTAAGAGTCTGACACTCCCTCCCTCCTCACCAAGGTGGGAGAAGTAATTCGATGGGTTTCCCCCCTTAAAAAAGCCTTAACTCAATAAATACTTTAGCCTTTTAAAATAACAATTAGTCGACCGACTGATCGCCCTACTAATTACCCAATTTATCGTAGAATGCTGCGAAGTTAAAGTACCACATAGTGGCGATGCATACAAGTGAGACTCCGTACCAGTGCACGCAGTGTTCCGCCGCCTTCGGCTGGTACTCCAGCCTCTACAGACATGTACGAGAGGTGCACTACAAGGTAATACTCACTTATACTTCACTCACACTCATTCATCACTCAGCCTCACTTACACTCGTACTCACTCACACTCAAAATCAATCACACTCATGTCGGAATACTGAAACGCTACTCAATTTTAAGTCGCGCTTAAGTATAGTTCTGTCTCTACAAATTCTTTGTAAAATGACAGAGATGGCACGATATTTAAGCACGACTTAAATTGAGTAACGTTTCAGTATTCCGGCGTCACTCACCCACGTACTCTCTCGTATTAAGTTACACTCATTTATTTACTTTATTACTCATTTACTCAATTTGAGTAAGTTACTGACTTGCTTACATTTGACTAACTAGAGTCGTTAATACTGGTTAAACCATTTAAACCCATACAAATTTCGGAGTCGCGGAGAACCTAACCGGGGCTCCGGCTCGACGTGCAGGAGAAGGAACGGGGTGGTGTTTAGTCAGTAAGAGTCTGACACTCCCTCCCACCTCACCCAGGCGGGAGCAGTCATTCGATGATTTTCCCCCCTTAAAAAAAAAAAAAAAACCCTACAAATCCCGCGTAGATTATCTTGAAAGTATTTGTAAATCCGTTCACGACACACTGAAGACAATCCTAGTCGAGGCACTAACATTTTATACTCACTATTACTCACTCACACTTAGACTCACTGTCACTCAAACACTCCAACTCACGTGCACTCACTCTCTCTATAAATCCTTTTCAGATGAAACTGCAGCCGAAAAAATCGAAGAAATCTAAAAAGATGGACATACTACCTTCTCTGCTTACCCCCCAAGTATTGCCGCCCGTACTACAACCGGGGCCACCGTAACATACAGAAATATAATAGGGATGATGAATTTATGACAGATAAAGTATAATTAGTCCGACAGGTAGATAATTACATAATTAAACGAACTTACCTGAAGTGAAGTTCTATTGTAATTATACTTGAGCTTAGTCCGAGATATCTTCTATATTCACTATGTAGTTGCACAATCCACGCATTGTGTGTGCCGGGAATATTTAGAGGAAGCAAAAAGCTTCGTATCCAAACAGAAAACACGCCATCAGCTGTCAAACTATATCTGTAAGTCATTCTTTTCAGAGCATTATAATAGGATTATGATTTCCAACCATACTCTAGTGATATCATAATTTATGATTATGAATAGGGGTGGGTGGGAAATTGATATCTCGGACTAAGCCCTTCGTATAATTACAATAGAACTTCACTTCAGGTAAGTACGTTAATTTATGTAATTATACTTGAGCTTAGTCCGAGATATCTTCTATATTCACTATGTAGATGTTTAGAGAATTATTGGAAATCATAAAACAAAAGCAATATACAATCAAAAACAGGACTTTATAATAATCAATTTAATGTGATACGTCACATTATCAATTTAACAATAAGTATCTTATCTAATTATATAATTGTACGATATAGGAACTTATGTACCAAAAAATATATGATTAAGTGTTACAGATAGCTTTCGTAAAAGCGTAGATATCATTTTCTGTGCTTAAGGGTCTATTGTAGTGGTTGGCAAAACACTAGATCCTGACCAACCAGCGGATTTAAATATAATATCTAATGTAACGCCTCCTCTACAAGCCATAGACGTCGACGCATGACGTGTGGAGTGAGGAGTAAACTTTTTTACATCAATTCCACATTCGGCCATAACTTGCCTTATCCAGCGACTAATTGTTTGGGTACTGGCACAGTTATATGGTTTATAACATAAAAGTAGCTTGTCTGTATTAATTGTGTCAACTTTTCTGAGTGCCTTAGTCTGGTCTATATACTGTCTAAGTGCCGATACAGGGCATATTTCAAGATTGGTATCCAAGGAAGGAAGCCTTATTACCAGTTGGTTCTTACCAGGGGTTGTTGTTTTTAAAAGGTCGGTAATTGCTATTTTTACACCATTATCCGTAAACTCTATGTTGCTTAATCGAATAACTGATAATGTTTGAATACATTGTGCAGTTGTAAGAGCTAGCAAAATAACCAATTTCTTGGTTAATTTTTCTAGATTAAGGCTACTATTTGGTGACCAATCTTGAATATACTTCAGGACAACAGATGGATCCCATGTGTTCCTTTAAAAAATCTCTTAATTTGTACATCCGTTCCTAAACTTGTATCTATGATGAGAGACAATGCTGAACGGCAAGTATTGAGAGTAGCATATGAACCGCCTTGTGATAATATTTCTGTGAGAAATTCTAAAACTTTAGGTATTGACAACTCATATATGTTTTCACCTTTACAAAATGACCACCACTTTTTAAGTGCCGTTGTATATTGTTTAACAGTATTTTGTGATAGGGAAGCTATCATGACTTCTATTGTTTCATCGGGAGTTAGTTTTCTCCGGAACGCTTCCCTGATAAGATGCAGGCTCCCAGGGAAAGACTGTTGTACATGGGGTGTCGTGTTCTGAAAGGCGATATTAACAAATCCTTTGATGGTGTAAACTGTAATACTTCTGAAGCTGCTAATTCAGCTATAAAAGGATACCAGGGTTGTGAGGTCCATAAAGGGAACACTATGATACCTGTTGCCTTATCACAAATAATTTTCTGAATACATTTTGGCATTAACGAAAAAGGAGGAAAAGCATAAAATAAGTTGAATGCTGACCAGTCTACAGTAAAAGCATCGATATTCTCTGCATATGGATCTCTATGCCAAGATTGTATACCTATGACATTTTTTGTTTGCTCTTGTGGCAAAAAAATCTATATCAGGTTCTCCCAGGGATTTGGTAATATTTTTAAAAGTTTTGTGGCCCAATTCCCATTCTGAGTCTATATTTTTTATTCTGGATTCTTGATCAGCGTCTTTATTATCTTTTGACTTGATATAGGAGGCAAACAACCATATTCTACGGACCTCACACCACTGCCATATGCTCCTAGTTAAAGAATTAAGTTTTGGAAATTGTATACCACCCATCCTATTTATGTATGCAATTGCAGTTGTATTGTCTATTCTCAACAATATCTGACAAGAGTGAAAATCTTTGGCAAAACACTGTAAGCCCAGAAAGGCAGCCAAAAGTTCAAGGAAGTTAATGTGGTTTTCCTTATCTTTTAAAGTCCAAAATCCATTTGCAACTTTACCATTACAGCATGCTCCCCAGCCCGTCCTTGATGCATCTGAATTTATTTCTAAAGAAAAATTGTACTGTCTTATTATATTTTTTGGTTTTTTAATTTGGTTTGGCCACCATTTTAAATTATTTTTACAATCATCATTTATGTTTATAATTGCATCAAAGTCATTATTTGTTGCGGATAAGGCCTGATATTTCTGCTGTTCAAATATTTTAGTGTACAAAAAACCATAATTATGACACAGCTGGACAACATGCTACAAGGGTGCCAATGAGTTTTGCAAATTCTCTTATTGGACACTGATTGACTTTTATATATTTATTAATCAATGAAGAAATTGTTTCCCTCTTCTTAGAAGGCACTGATAATGACATTTCTTTTGTGTTTATTATGAAGCCTAAAACTCTGCAATATTGGTGGGCACAATGACACTCTTATTCTTATTTATGATAAAACCTAGGCATTCTAGTAAACTAATGGTCACCTGACAATTTTCTAGACAGTAGAAAACCAAATTATATGGAATTGACGTAAATTTTGACACTTGTCAGTGTCATCCCCATACATTTTGATTTAAAGTGGCGTTTGGCTAAAGGCACAGTGCCTTTAGCCAAACGCCACTTTAGCGCTTGTCTACAGAGAGAGTAGAAATCAAAATGTATGGGGATGACACTGACAACTGTCAAAATTTACGTCAATTCCATATAATTTGGTTTTCTACTCTACATGAAGACAAGCGCTAGATGGCATTTGGGTACAGCTGCTGGTAAGAATTGCCAATACATATAATGTCGTCAAGGTAAACAACAGATTTATAACCTTTTCTTCTAAGAAAATGTATAACTGGTTTCAATAACTTAGTGAATGTGAATGGAGCCGTACTAAGACCAAATGGTAAGCAGTTAAACTCATACATTATATTCTGAAACCAAAATCTTAGATATTTTTTATCTTCACTCATTGGAACCAAGAAATATGATTCTTTTAGGTCAATGGTACACATAAAGTTATTTTTTGTAATCAATTTACAAAGAGTTCTTATGTCTTCAATTTTAAAATGATCTGTTGAGATAAATCTAAACATTTTAAATTTAAAATAAATGTAACTTCCCCATTTGATTTGGGTACAGTAAAAATCTTTGAAAAGTATTGACCTTTTTCTGCAACACATCTTGTTAGTACTCCAAGTTTTAATAGTCTATTTATTTCTTTTAATATTATAAAATTTTCAGTTACAGAAAAATTTGAGTTTTTGGGTACATAATTCTGTTAAAGAGCCTCTAAAAAGGGGATTTTGTAACCTTTGAGCCAAGATAAGACAACTTTGTCTTGTGTTATCTTCGACCAACAAGAGTAAAAGGACTTAAGTCCACCAGCAAAAGTACCTCGTGTGTTCATAAGTTTTGAGACAAACTTTTTGCTTATAAAAATAAAATAAAAATTACTGGCTGCTGTATATTTCTTTTTCTAATTTTGAATTTGGAATGTTAACTTTTAATATCTATGATTTCGGATTATTTTATTTAAATTTTCTCGTAATGGAGGGAACAAAAGAATTACGTGCGACCGTCATTTCATTATTTAAGGTGGGAAGAAAACCTATGGACATTTTCCGAGAACTGAAAAGTTTTGGTGTGAGCCGTAACTTCGTGTATTACACTATTAAACGATACCAGGAGACAAGTTCTTTACATGATCGGCAAAGAAGTGGTCGTCCACGCTCTGTGAGAACGCCTGCGAACATTAAAATCATCCGAGAGCGACTTCGCCGAAATCCATGTCGCACTCAGAAGAAACTCGCTCTGCAGACCAATATTTCACGCGTTTCAGTCAACAGAATACTGAAATATGATCTCAAGGTTAAGGCGTATAGCCGTAGAAAAGTACACTTTTTAAACGATCGCCTTCGTCAATTGCGACGCGAACGTTGTCCATTACTGCTTAGGAGACACGATGCGAGGAAGATACTCTTCACCGACGAGAAAATCTTTACCGTCGAAGAAAAGTTCAATCGACAAAACAATAAAGTGTATGCCAAAAGTAGCAAGGATGTCCCACCTTCAGCACGGAATGTCTCGTGTACTCATTATCCGGCTAGTGTCATGGTATGGTGGGGAGTTTCGTACGAAGGTGTCACTCAGCTTCATTTCTGCCAACAAGGCGTCAAGGTGAAAGCCAAAAATTATCAACGTGACATTCTAGAGACTGTTGTGAAACCCCTGTCTAATACCCTATTCCATAACAAGTATTGGGTTTTCCAGCAAGACTCGGCGCCATCCCATAAGGCTAAAACCACCCAAGCTTGGCTGAAGGAAAATGTGCCGGCCTTCATTGCGGCGAACGAATGGCCCTCCTCCAGCCCCGACCTCAACCCGCTGGATTATTCTCTATGGACCGAATTAGAGCTCAGAGCCTGCCGAAAGTCCCACCCAAACTTGGAGTCACTTAAGCGAGCTCTTGTCCGAGAAGCGAAGCGAATTCCTCTGGAAAAGATTTGTGCCGCCATTGATGACTGGCCAAATCGTCTAAGGGCATGTATTAAAAACAGGGGTGGTCATTTTGAATAATAATTATATTTAATTTTTAAATATAAGTTTATTATTTAAAAAGATATGCAACTTTTAATTTGTCTCAAAACTTATGAACACACGAGGTATTTACCTCTAAGATTGTCGAACAGTTGCCTTGGCTGGAGGACGT